TATAAAGAAAGCTTCCACTCATTGACCAGAGTGAAAAACACTAGTTGTTTAAAACAGTGTACTGATGGTCAAACAAAGAACTGTGGTGATTCTTCTCTCAGGCAGGACGACCCACTTGGTGAGATGAACTGTGACAGTCTTTATTTAAGGTTGGGGAAAGGACAAGGGAGCCTCTCTTTGGGTCTGCACATAGTTTACGACTAGTGGATTTTGTGGCAATGGAAGCAACGATCAGGGCTACGTTAACTGACAGTTATAAATAAGAACACTGGTTGCCTGCAGACTTTGATATCCGTCACACAGTTCCACTATTAGCATCTAGCATTCCTACTTCCTGTTGTTAGTTGCCATCCAGTCGGCTCTGACTCTCGGCGACCTTACCTTATGTATAACAGAACAAAATGTTGTCCCGTCCTGCGCCCTCTGCGTGACCGTTGGTGTCTCAGTTATCTAGCGCTGCTATAACAGAAACACCACGAGTGGGTGGCTTTAACAAACAGAAATGTATTTCCTCACAGTTTAGGAGGCTGGAAGTCTAAATTCAGGGCACCAGCTCTAGGGGAAGGCTTCTTCCCTCTGTCAGCTCTGGGGGAAAGTCCTTGTCTCCTCCGCTCCCCCCCTCGGCTCCTTCGTGCTCTTTACGTGGTGCGGCACCTACCTTCCCCCATCTCTGCTTGCTTCTCTCTGTCTAATCTCTTTTTACAGCTCTAACAGACTGACTCAAGACACATCCTACACTAATACTACCCATTAACATAACAAAGAAAACCCATTCCCAAATGGGATTATAACCACAGGTATAGGGGTTAGGGTTTATAACACCTATTCTGGGGGATACAGTTCAATCCGTTACAGTTGGTACGCTCGAGTCCACTGTTGCAGCCGCTGTGTAGTGTTCTCCAACCTCGGGGGCTCATCTTCCAGTACTATCTCGGACAATATTCTATTGTGAACCATACGGTTTTCACTGGTTAATTTTTTGGAAGTAGATTGACAGGCCTTTCTTCCTAGTCTGTTTTAGTCTAGGGGCTCTGCTGAAACCTGACCACTGTGGGTGACCCTACTGATAATTCAAAACACCAGTCACACAGCTTCCAGGATCACAACAATACATAAGCCGCTACAGTACGATAAACTGACAGACGCGGGTGGATCATTGTAATTAGGGATTCTCAGCTGGAGGGTTCCCAGCAGAGCTGTTTGAAACAGTCTATCCTTCCCCAGGAACCTCTTCCCCTTGTCACATTTTTTGAGACTAATTAAGGTAAACTGTCAAAAGCCCTCTTGGAGAATTACTTTTATTTACGGCCAATTTATGGTTGTTGTTTCCAAGAATATCTGGCAGGGCTCAGCAATTAATCAGTAGCTATAAATACAAGCCTTAACTTCAAACATTACTACAGAAGAAAAGACAGATGTTACTGACTACAGCGAGTACCGAAAAAAACAAACAATGCCGAGCAATTTACAATACAGGCATCCTCTGTGCAACGACAGACACTGGGGGGACGATGAGTGTGCGTGTGTGCGCGCGCACATGTCTACCTGTATCTACATACCCCTGCACACGCACCGAGTATTTCTGGAAGGATACTCGATAAACCGCAAACTTTAGATGTCTAAGCGGAAGGTTTGGAAGTGAAATAAAGATGTGCTTTCACTGTACATAATTTTGTACTGTTCAGAAATCTCATAATACAAACATACTACCTTTTCCAATAAAAAATTTTAAAAAACTTAGTTAATAAAACAAACTAATGAATAAATGAAATGAAATCTGGCCACTCACAAAATTAAATAATTTCTAAAAGGGCTCCTTTATTTTATGTTCATTACAAATCAAATATACCTTGCTCTGCAATGTAGAGACTACCTGGTTAATACTTTCAACTGTGGAAGGAAGAAAAGCAGGTTGCAATCAAGATTATCTTCCTTTCTTTGAATCTTACTGTTTTTCTTACTTGAAATCAAGCCAAGTAACTGATCTTCAGTGAGACTATCCCCCTTCTCAGAATGAACTCCTTCATCGACACATTAAAAAGTCCATTTTCAGTGCCCCAGAAGATTCATTACTCAAGGATGCAAATTCCAATCCTGTTCTGTAGGAGTCGTCAACAGGTATCAGGGGGTATGACAGATCAGTACATTAATGACCCCTCAGCAAAGTATGCC